GAAAATGTAACAGTTATGATTAGTTGGTGACAGGACTTTGTGTTTTCCAATTCAGTCTATAATCATACTCATGATTGACACATTGTACTTCTGCTTTGCCATCATCCCATTTTGTTGATCACCCAAATGGTTGCAGACTGAATTGGACTCCACTTGGTCTTGTTACCATTATTAATTATTATTCTATATCAATGTTGCACCAAGTTGCCAGATTGTGTTAGGAACACTTATATACCGTAGTTATTCGGTTATAAGGCGCACTTGGCTATAAGACGCACCCCCAATTCGGCAACTTCATTATTGCATGTTTTCAAACTGAGAAAATTGCTAAAATACTTGGTTATAAGGCACACCGTTGTTTGGGGAGTTAAGATCGGTCAAGTTTATTGTAAATTCTTTCATAAATTTACAAAAAAGCGAAAAAGTCGTGTATTGATTTTAGTTTACCGTTAATCAACAAAAGCAGAATTGTCGCACACGCGACCATGCACACAAACAAAAGCCTTGATTAAACAAGATGTACCTCCGAGAATGCACGTCTCAGTGCACTAAAAAGGCTGAAAGGATGAAGAAGGTATTTACCTCTTTGCTTGTTTATTTTCGTTTCATTTTGTGACGTATCAAATTACTAAGCACGTGCTCTCGAGCACGTATCACATCTATGCACATTTGACTTCGCTTGTCTTTTCAGAACCACCATATTTATAAAAGTCAATGTGTGTGTGTCATTTTATTTGCTTGAAATCGTACCAGTAACTGTGATAAAAAAAAATTGTTTCGGGAATATATTCGCCTATAAGACGCACCCAAACTTTGGCGGTAATTTTTAGTAGAAATTAGGAATTTCTTGAAAAAAACGGTGCGCCTTATAACCGAATAACTACGGTAATAGATGCAGAAAGAACAGAAAAGGTGTTAGCACATTGTTCTCAAGACCAGAAGATATCAGTGCTTCATGCATGTACATGGTGAAAGAAGAGATTAGTTATTAACTAACATCGCAGTAGGAACCAGAATCATTATCAGAAGTAGAGAGTGATACAATCCCATGAAACTCAAACTGTGAAATCTGTGAAAACTAGAGTTTTAAGTTACAAGCCTCTCAAAAACCTGAGAACTTGTGTCAAGATTGGTTGGTTCTTCTGCTTCTGTTTGTGACTTCAACAATCAGGTTTCCAATGGATCATGATTGTCAAGAGCCATAAGGGACAACAGAGAAAAATGGAGCCATTCTGATTTTTCTAATTTTTATTCTGTTGATTTTATGACTCTGCTTAGGACACTGACTATCTACTTTGAACTGGGTCCAGTTGTATAAAAGGCAGATAACGCTATCCAACGGATAAATTGCTATCCAGAGACATCATGGCAGTACACTTGTTGTAACTGAATGGTGCGCTTGTAACAAATTTGCTCTGTACAAGATAACAATTCTACTTAGCAAAGAAGTATTAATTGAGACAAAATAAATCAAACCCAATATGGCTAACCTTACCAGCCATGGTAGTTTGTTTACCTCTGACTGAGAAGGACTCCCAGACTCTGAATCACTGTTTCCTCCTTGTGAATGGCTGTTTCCGGAGGATGGGTTCCCTTGACCACTTCCTCCCCCAGAGCTAAAGTAGAGAACAACAGTAAAACAATTTCAGTATTTATGTTTACATTCCTTTATTTTTTGTTTTCTTTTAGCTCTCTTATTTCCAAGATCTCAAGAGCAATTTTTCCTTACTGTCTTCTGTGCGATTTTTATGATTTTTGTTCAGAAAATTTGGTATTAGATCAAATGGTAATTCCCTTGTTGATATCTTCCTTTACCATCACTTGTCTGTTTGTTGTTGTAAGGAAAAATTTGTCATTCTCAGTCAAGGAAGTTTAAGGGTTAAGCTGATACTAACAATTTCTTCAATAAGGGAAGTTTGTTTATAGCAAACACACACTCCAAATTTTCTGGAGTTCATTCCTGGACTTGATTCAAATTACTTTCTTTTGAAGTCAGAAGTTTCTGGCACTCGAGCCAAACATAATTCACAGTATCAACAAAACTGATGAACAAACCTAATATCACATAATTTCAGTGACAGAAGACTCATAAAAGTAACAACACAAGCAACAAAGACAGTGCTACTATGATACCTACACACTCAATTCTTTTTTGACATACTTATGGTAATGATAACAGTTAGACTTGAGCTATTGCAATTTTAATCCTTTAACTCCAAAGATCTCTTTAGTAATTCTCCTTACTGTCATACAGTTCATATGATTAAGAAAGATTTTTTTTGTCTTGTCATGAGTGTGGGACAAAGAAAAAAATTCTGAGTCCCCATGAGGAATCGAACCTCAGACCTTTGGACTTGCACTCCAATGCTCTACCATTGAACCACAAAGCCTTTTTGGTGAGTGGGGTCTATTACGAAGTTCTAATGACACATGTCCTGCATACTGCTAGGAGCAGCAATGTCGATAGCGTAATGTTTTTGACAGAAAAGTAGAGATGATAAGTTTTGAGCTCGGTGAACAATTAAGAAAGATGTTTTTTCATCTTGTCACAAGCGAGGTCTAAGGTTCAATGGGGACTCAGCATTTTTTCTTTGTCCCATGCTCGTGAGAAGATGAAAAAAACATCTTTCTTAATTCTTCACCAAGTTCAAAACTTACCATCTCTACTTTTCTGTCAATTCATATGATGTTAGTTTGGAGAATTTGGAATTGGATCAAACAATAATCCCCTATTTGAAATTTTCCTACATTCTCATTAACTGTCTGCTTGATATTGTACTGATAGTGTAAGGAGAAATTCTGTCTTGGTCACTAGTGGGACTTCATGAGTTCAGTCACTGAAAATGTACTAGTAGTAGTCGCATCAACTATTTTGATGAGTTGCCAATTAATCAATTGAAAGAAAAAGGCGACACAGACTTCCTGCCACATTCATCAACGCCCTGACAACTAATTATGTAAATCACAGTTCATATTTGCAGATTAATTTGTTTTGTTATTTGTTGAGAGAAATCACTCTCTCTGATTTCACAGATTTATGTCAGCTTGTTACAAAGATAATGACTTGGGGTTCAAGGCAATGTTTTTAGAGACAACAAGTTCTATTTAAAGTTTTTTCTTTTTGGCCAAGGTCACAGTACCAAGCATAATCTAAACTTCCGCAACTGACAAAATCTAATACTACAAAATTTGAGAACAACTCCCTGAGTTGATATCAAAATTACCATATCTGAGGACCACATTCAGCTTCTTAATTGTAAACATGACCCCTCTCTAAGACCATGTACATGACTTGCATATTAATGAAGTTTATGCGTTTGTATGTGTTTGGAAAGATTGGGGAGCATGTTCATGGTTTGGAAATCAATAAAATGTGTGGACCAGATCAATACTGAAAACTCCTTCGAAAAATGTTGCATGGTCGTTCAGAGAAAAAAGGTTATATGGCTATTTTCACCAATTGCTGTATTTCTCACATCAACCTGGGAATTCTTTAAGATTCGAAAGACCTCTTACAAATTAACTAAAGGAAAAGCAGCGGAGAGGAGGGTATGTGAATTTTTTCCATACTAGAAAGTCCTCCATGTGAAGTTAATGATGGCGTAAACAGATTGCAATCGAGCAAACAGAGAAAAGTTAATGTGGTTATTACCCGCAAGTAGCCCTCTCGCGTCAAAAGTGGGGTACATATTCGCAAACCTTATCAATACTTGGATTAATCACGAAGATCATCACTTTTTTCCTCTAGAAAACAAGTTGTGATTAAAAAAAAGATTCATGAAAGTACGAATTGAAAAGCCTCAGCTCAAAAGCATACCTTTCCTCTTCCAATAGAACAAGAAAACGACACGCTCAAATCGAATTTTACTAGAAATCTACGCTAGATAAATAACATAACAAAAACATTCCCCTCTGTAATTGGGTAGATTTTTTTAACAAATCCTCCGAACAAAAGGCTAATGAAAATTCCCCTACTAGGCCTCCCGAAAAATGTAAAGAGTTGCATAAACGAGGTAAAAGCGAACGATCCATAATTTTATAAATCCACCATGGCTCGTTACGTCAACGACACACTAGTCTTACCCTTGAGGGGGCGAAGGGGGAGCCTGACTTGATTCCTCCGTCACCTCGTAATAATCATACAGGAATCCAAGATTGGACGCCATATTTAAGTCTTCTCCATTCACCAATAACGAAGACGAAATGGGGGAATCAATCTGTGAAACGTACGCTTTCCAAGCGCGGTCTTCGCGCACTTCTCTCCCTCCATCACTGGTCGGTGACCCGATTGCTGTCTTCGAGCTACTTCCAGGCGAAGTAACAATCGAGTTACCCTCCGTAGATACCTTTCCTGCCATGTTAACAGTCAATCCAGCACTTTTTCTACACAAAAAATGACACGAGAGTGACAAATTGACTAAATAAACAACGTAAAAGGGTCGGATCAAAAATTACGCGCCAGAAAATTGACCGGCACGAAACAAAAACTCCGTCGATGGGAAGACGCCACGAAAATCGACTTGGAGTCGCATAAAAATAATAGCAGCCGCTTCGGAACAACATTGAGACAGATCACTCTTACAACCTACCTCCTAGCTATATCAGCCATGGCATGAGGAGTGCCAGCCGTTAGAAACCTTCCAATCCATGTGATTTCTATAAATTTTTTTGTGTCAGAACACGCTGATGTGACCTGCTATCTCTGGCTTGAGACGACCGAGATAAATGGCTTATTCAAGAAGCCTGTAAACGAACGATTCCGACCAGCATCGTACTCAATCAATAACTTCTCGTTATCCAAAAAAGGAAGTTTTCGTTGTACGTTGCATAAGAAAATGCCTCTATCGTTCCTTTTTTTCGGATGGAAAACTAAATTGCAGCCGATCTCATTTTCAGATAAACACTTGAAGCAAAGACGAAAAAAATCGCGCTAATGTCGTCAACAAAAGTTTCACAGTCGTACCCAATATATTACGTTCCGCATCGCTTATTATCTTGTACTGCATCAAAGTACTTTTACTTCACATGAAAACTGATCACGCCACCTACCATCGAAATGTTTCATTCATAACGTAGCGGAATTATTTAAAAGGAGTCAGCAAAGTTTTGCTTTATTTCTCTTCTTCGGATTGGGTCAAATTAGTCGTGAAGCGTTTGATGAATTATTATATTAATGGTGCTATTGTTCTCATTATCTGCCTTGTCACTGCTAGAAGTACTCTAAAGCTAAGCAAAATGACTTTCTAATTTTTCCATTTCAAATTGTGTTCTGCCCTCTGGTTTCACTTAGTAAGTTTGTCGCACTTACATTATGAGTGATTGAAACATATGCTGGATGAAGAAAAAATCTGATATTATTTGCACGAAATAGAAAATCGGGGCAATTATACAGCCTCATAATAACCCTTTTCATGGTGGATTTTGTGATAAGGTTTGCCTGTGCGAAAATCTACTGATAGACAACGACTTCTTTTAACATGGGTAGGGGTGGGGTGAGAAGGAAATGTTTTCATGATCGCGGAAGATTGGTGCCAGGTGTTGATGGCGTAAACATGGCGGCCTTAAAGCACAACTTACAGAAGGAGTTGTTCAACCCAACTGAGGAGCGACTCTATGCGGTTGTAAGCGTAACTAAAGCGGGGAAAAAGAAGAAAGCAAGTTTCCTCTGTTTAGCTGGTATGAATTTATCTCGAGCCCCTTTTTCTAATGCTGAAGATCTTTCCGCAAATATTAGGCTTATCCTTCAAGAACCTTCCGTGCACCCAGTGTCTTTCACTGTGGAGTTGATATAGGCTTTATGCTCATCACCTTTGATGAAAATTGTCTCTATGATTTTGCAAATTAAGTACAGTTGCTCCTTATATTATAAATCTCGCACGATACTGAAGAAGATACTCTCAGAACTGCAGATGCCGAGGAGGAAATGAAATTCATTGCTCCCACACTTGAATTAGAATACGCATAATTTGTGAATGCTTCGTTGATCTATTTGAGGAAAATCCCAATTTTCGCGAGCCAGTTAGTGTGATTATTAGAGGAGGTAAATACGTTTCATTTAAGCCCTAAGGGTTTGAAGTCCATGTCTAGCATACTATGATACGCAAAGTAATGTTGAAGGGCTGGGCTAACTAACCCAAATCATGCCTTGATTCAATCCAGCCTTTTCTTAAAATCGCAATGAAGATAATAAGGATTGTAATTATTTTACCTATTCCTACTAATTTGGAAGTTAATGTTATAATTTAAAGTGAACGTTAAAATGCACTTTATTTCTTACCGTCCATTATTTTGAAAATGTGTCTGTATTTCCACTCGACCATCCAGTGACAACAGTGAGACCTGAAACTGTGTCGCTTTACCAAGTGAAAAAGACAGAGAAAGATACATACAAGAAGAGAATGCACTGGAGACTGAGAGACTTAAAACTGGTTGATGGCAGAGATGAAACTAATGTAAGTACAAGGGGCTAACCCTTCAACTGCCAAATTATGTTTAATGTATGGAACATTAATTTCATTTCATATTTTGTACTTGATCAACATATCTTTTGTCTGTTGGATACCTGTAAATAACAGATAATTGGATTGATATCGATAATTGAGAGTGCAACATATGCTAGTGCTTCACCCCGTCAATGTTTTCTTGTAAAGAAACTTCAAATTTTTTCCACACAATTTTACTTAAAATGTAGTTCATTCTAAATTTATGGAAATAATTTTATATTTACTTTCATCCTCATGTTCAGGAAACCCCTGAATTTCACCTTCTATTTGAGAAGACCTACAAGTGGGTAGCAAGCAGTATTCAAGACAAAACCAATTTTATAACAGCGATAATGAAGGTGAAGATTGTAAATTAAATTTAAGTTGCAGTTACTGTAATAATTATGTCTTTATTCTTTGATTGTCACGGCCAGAAGAATATTTTGTCACTATGGCATTAATGATATAGTAAGCTGGTTTGTATCCTGAGTGATAAATTATAGTTTCCTTTCATAGTTGATTTTTTCTCAAGTTATTAACCCTTTCACTCCCAAGATCTAATTAGTAATTCTCCATACTACCTGCCATACAATTCTTATGATGTTAGTTCAGAGAATTTGGTGTTGGATCAACAAATAATCCCATAATTGATATTCTTCTCTATTCTCATCACCTACCTGCTTGATATTGTATTGATATTGTAAGGAGAAATTCTGTCTTGGTCACTTGTGGGAGTGAAAGGGTTAAGACTTACCACTTGCTACTACCCAAACATCAGTATGCAAGTTCTCCATACTGTTCACCATAAATTTCCCATGCTACTCATAATGACAATTTACATAACAATAGTGAAAGATATTTTTCATCTTGTCACAAGCGTGGGATGAAGAAAAAAGTTTGAGTCACCATGAGGAATCGAACCTCTGACCTTCAGATTCCACAGGGATTATGAGACAGTCAGATGGTGCTAAAAGTTAGACAGTGACAGGCAGAACGTTTTGCTTTCAATCATTTATCACCTTTCCATTGGCATCTTCACTGAATCAAGAATGAAGTAGCTAGGGGATCAGTGTTTAATTGCCACATTTTTTTTTGGATCCATGGCTCGTGTATATCCCAGGCCTCAGTTGTTCAAAGACTAGATAGAGCTATCCAAGGGATAAATTTCTTTCCAATGGATAAATGTTAACAAAACATACTGTGCTATTCACCACATAGAGATTTATCAAGTGGATAACATTACCAACCCTTTGAACTACCAGAGCCATGGATATACAACTAATGTAGAATGAGATGTTTTGTGTACTTTTTGACCTTTTTCTACATTTGGTATTGATCATTTGTCACAAGGATGCTTGTTGAGTATATTGATAAAAATCAGTTTTTAAATGATTACATTCAATTTACAGGTGGCCGACAGATATGGGAATCAGAGGAAACCAAGCTTTACCAATGTCAGTGCTATTGAAGGTAAATTAAACTACCTGTAACAAAATCTAATTGTTAGTTTTTCTATGTTAATGATAAAGAATGATATCTTAATTTTAAAAGAATTGATTCTTTGTTGTGATATTTTAATTTAAATCAGTGATGTGAAAGTATAACAAAGTAATTTAATGTTATCAATTGAGCTGGTAACATGAATTAAAGTATTTCTCAGCTCAGTGGTTATTTCAGAAACTATGGTACAAGTGTTGATATAAGCATTGCACCATTTCTTTTTTTGCCTTAGGTGCTTTTTTCAGTGCTCCTTTATCATTGCAAAATTAATTGTAGCTGGTGTTATATTTTTCTTTATTAATCATGTTATCGTGTTTCCCCAATGTCTGTTGGTAGATCTCTTGAACTAACATTGTGATAATTGTTGATATTTCCATTATTATGTAAACTGTGCAATGAGCAAGTCATTGGTGAATTAAAATACATGACTTGTACCATTGACTCTTGATAACTCAGATCTTCAGGGGAAGTTGAAAAAGGTTGAGCTATTAGGAGTTCGATTTATGGGGAGTTGAAGATACAGGCACTGTAATTTAAACTGAATAAACCTGGAGTGGACTGATATGTTTTGAGAAATGCAAAACAGGATGAAGATTACATGGCTGCTTCAAAATAAATTACAGTAAATGTTTTGGATTGAAACACACTATTTGTTTTGATTTGTTGCATATTAAAAGATGTGGTTAGAAGTGGTTCAAGTTATTAAGAGTGAGAATATTAAAAAGAATGACAGGAAGGGAAATGAAAATTGCTTTGAGTTAGCAGGAAGTTTGAGTTATCGAGGGTTTGAGTTACAAAGGGTAAAACTGTAGTGTACCAGTAAATGTATGATGGAAATCTAGGGCAAATCTATGTTGGTTCAAGTTAGTGTGAGGTTCAAATTAGGGAGGTTCGAGTTATTGGGAGTCAACTGTATGTATTTTTGTTTCATTTAAGGCTCTATCCATGGGGCTGAGAGTAGCAGAGTTCAACAGCACACAGAAGAGGGAGCTGAAGGTTGGTAGTTTTATGAAAAGAAGTGCTTTTACATTTGCAGTTATGCTGACAAGACTTTTCCATCCAGCTAGACATTATGGGACATTATCATATCTGCAAAGTAATATGTGTGTCACAGTGTAATACGGCTTGTGGATACATGTGGACAAAAAGATAAAAGACGGAAGGAAAACTTGTTGATGGAGGGTCTTTTTGCTGTAACCAGTGAATCCAGAATGGTTTGTCTACTTAACTGGCAGATGAGTTAACATTGTAACATAAAGTACAAATCTTAAAATACTATAGTTGTTTCACATGCATTACAAATTTATTAGGTGAAGATTACCAAGAACTGACACAGCGAGAGGAGAGTGACTTGGAGTACATGATATCACATACTGAGAGTGCCATCAGCAACATTGAAGCGTTCACGGAAAAACTCTCCAAGGAATTGTCTGTTTTGGATGGGGTAAAGTCTACCATTAAATCTCTATTAATTGATTATTTGTCAGGTGAATAGTTACTTTTTTCAACATCTTTATTTTCTTTCACTTGGCAGGCCAATATTCATTCCATCATGGATGCTGAGCCTCAAGTGGAATCACTGATGCAGTTGTTGAATGATGCGTTAAAGGAGCTCGAAAACCTAGATAAACGACTTATTGGATATGATTCGCGTCTTAAGGTAAATAGTCTGATTCCGTCTTATTCCGTGGAGATCCGTCTGGTTTCAAAATGTTACCTTGAATGAAGTGCAGACCCGTGTAATTTCGTACGGTCACGTCCAATTTCGGGCGATTACGTTTTATTGCGCACGGAACCTTCCGATTTCAAATGATTCCTTTCGATTTCGGACGGCGCCAACCACCATTCGACAATTCTGTTAGATTTTGAATAATCTCTCCGATTTTATCCGGCTCCACTTCTTATTTTGAACCGTGTCTTCAAGCCTTAAACTAAGTATCTTGAATGGTCGGCCTGATTCTGTTTTTATTGTGATGTATTTGATAACTTAGGAAGTGCGAGCTCAGATGGAGCAAATGGAGGATAAGGATAAACACATGGTTACAGAGAGCAGGAATCGTAAAAAGCTTTTGGAGGAGGTGGAATCAGTAGTGGTCAGTTTTCTCAGTATTTATCAAGTTTTTCACTTTTCGGAGCAAGCACTAAATGGTATACTCTTCAACTGTTATGATAACATAGAATTAAATTAGAAAACTCAACAGCGGACAAAAGTAGTCAACACAAACTGGCTGATAAACGAGAAGGCAGACAGACAGGCTGAAGGACTATCAGACTGTATGAAATGATTGACAGACAGTCTGATGGGAGAACTGGATGGCTCTCTGACTGTCTAAAGCACTGGCTGACTTACTGGTTGACGGACTGACCGGCTAAGCGAGAGGCTGACTGTGACTGATGGGTTGGATGCCTGACTCTCTAAAGCACTGGCTGACTTACTGACTTATGGACGGACTGACCGGCGGAGCGAGATGGGCTGGCTGGCTGGCTGACTAAAATACTGACTGACTTACTGACTGGTTGACGGACTTGACCGAAAGAACTAGCAGCTTGCAGACCAATTGACGGGCTGGCTAACTGACTTCTGGCCGATCGACTGACTGAAAGAGAGGAAAAACAGAGTCAGCCATGGTTAAAGAAATTTACAAACAGTTCAAATCAAGGAAACGGTTGTTAAAAGACGTACACGAAGGTCATGTAAACAGGTGTATGATTAATCTTTACAATCCATTTTGACTACATACTATTTAAAAACATCGTTTCAGAATTCACTGGATGTCCCTGAGTGTAACATCGTAGCTTTACAAGAAGCTGACCTTTCCAAAGGGCTGGGACTGAAAGAGTGCACTCACGCCGCGTTTTCCGTGCTTCATGCTCTGCAAGCAGATCTCAGTCCAGGTAGTAAGAGCTAGTTTAAGGTAATCCAAAGTTGGATAAGTTTTGCTGTACTTCACTCCGCCTCCTTCTCAACCAATCAGCTGCTAAGCTAAAACAAATTGCCCCAAGGTCTCATGTGTTTTCCCGCGCTTCAGGTAATTTACCATTTTCTTAATTCGAGTTCTCATTGGTTCGTTCTGAGGTAAACTTTGGGACTTATTGGCCGTTGAAATGTCTTAAAGTTTGTTTTACGGCACTTACTCGACTGAAAGCGTTCTATATTGAAAAGGGATTAAATATCAAGTCGGTTTCTGGGAAAGGTTTTGAATGCTTTTTCTTTTCATCTGCAACTTGCAAGGATGTTTAACTCGAAACATGTGTCCAATTGTTCAGTACCTCTGTCAATGACCACGGCAAATATCTTCCGCTTCCAGGTTTTTGTAGCTCTAACAGTACTTTTTATAAAAGCTGTATTTACTTTCTGTTTTCATTGATGTTGTTTATTAACTTCAATTTATCTCCATTGTAATAATTTTGGACATTTTATTTCACCACACTTTCTTGATTGGAAAGCGCCCAATATGTATGGTCTTGAGGTTTTGGGTGTTTCAATTTAAGGTTTAACTAAGATGAGAGCTGTCAAGGAACAGAGAGAAAAGTTTTTGCAGCTGAGCAGCGATTTTGCTCAACGTCTGAAGTTTCACCTCATGGAAATCTTCACGCGCCACGTAAGTTCTGCCTGCCTACTACTGTCAGCTGTAGTCTTGTCAGTAGTATAGGGCGGCCGCATAGTCGGTCACCAATGAGAGAGACGTATTTGTACCACGTATTCGGTGAAAGCAAAGGATTTTCCATCAATGGATGTTGAAATGACGACTTGATTTGTAACGCATTTTTGCAATTTTACTCATTGGAGTCACGCATTATAAATCTTCCTTCAGTGTCACGCAGAGAGAGATCGAGTATTCTGCAGTAATACACTATTTTATTTTCATAACAGGGCGTGAAATTGCGCCTAATACAGGCGCCAATGCGACTAAATTTTTCACTTTGGCGACCATATCCAAGTGGCTATCAGAAAAAAAATTAATTTAACGCCCTGCATAACCTCAACATTTTTCAAGAAGTGTCTTTCTGTCACGTTGTTTATCACTAGAGCTTAGACGTAGAGACTCTGGTTCAACACTCTAGTGAGCTGTGTATCCCTAAACATCTGGCTTGTCATAATGACCTCGCGCCATTCTCTGATCTAATGAAGTGGCTGAAAGAAGTTGATCAGACTGTGTTTCTCGAGCTCTGTCAGGTATGTTATGTCCACTCCTTCCACTTTAAGGAAATATTTAAAATTGATGACAAACTTGACTCATGAATATCATTTTCTACCTTGTCAGGCGTATACACAATCTCTGAGCAGAGTCTACGAGAGGGAACTGAGAGACTTCTTTGAGGCTGTGAAACAAAAGACTATGACAAAAGGCGTCCGAAGTAAATAATCCCCTAATAATCCCCTAGCTGATCTTTTTCGTTACTTACATCACTTGTCTGCTTGATGCTACATTGATAATGAAAGGAGAAATTCTGTCTTGGTCACTCATGGGAGTTAAAGGGTTAAGTTGCCAACACATGTCGATATTTTCTGCTCTGTGTGATTTGAAGCAGGAGTTAATAGGGCTTCCTTTCTCTATACAGCTTACGCTGCCTTTAAGATGACAGGGACTTCGACGGGTGCGAATGACCCGAAAATGAGCCCCCGTCCAACTCCTCGCGTGATCAAGACGGGCTCTTTCAGGAAAACTGAAAAAGCAACCGACAGGAAGGACACTGACTCCATTGGTTCGATGGGCTCAGATACGAGGTCAAGATCAGGCTCCATGAGCTCGGTGGATTCCTCTGATCAGTTGCTGGAGGGCAGAGGAAAGTTTGAAAGGGTTGGTTGAAAACTTTTGCGGAGAAAGCTTGGGTATAAGCTTGCCCACCTGTCTCAATGAGCTGGACCAGTTTATCCAACGAACTTTGTTTTCTGTTCATATGAAAAATTTTGATCCTGGTCACTGAGCTGTGATTGGAGCCCGAATACTGTTCAGTTAAGAACTTTCAGCTTCGTGACCGAGTTGAACAAAGCGCGATCTTACCACTGAGTGTCGTCCCCCGTGACCGGATTGAGCTGTTCATACGGTCATGGCTACCGATAGCTCAACAATCTAGCTAACCTGCCTTTACATATATCATGTATAGAAGTCACTAAATAGTTTTGAGGTGAAATCTGACCGTATAACCAAGCTAGCGCAGCTTGAAGTTTACCATTTTTTTTGCACGTGTCATGAATATCAAAGTAAAATTTTCAAGCTTGTTGCTTGAAATCCCTTTAGCTTTCTGTTATTTTCAGTCCTTTTTGTTCGTTTTATCAGTCTTTTCCTTTGTCTTCCTAGCCAGTTATTATCCTTACTGTTGATTTAAAATAGCCTAAATACTGCAGAAATACAAGAAGAAAAGGAAGACTTCCAAATCGCTTCCGTCTATTAACCTACATACACTTTCTTTGATTGTAAAATCAGGTATTTGATGTTCTGTTATTGGAGCTGGAACCAGTATGCACAGCCGAACAGGAATTTGTACAAAAGTTCTTCGATTTTTCTTTGGAGGAGTCAGAGGTTTGTTTGATAATGATCAGTATTTTCTATTGTAGAGAAGTATTCTATACATTTTATTACGGTACAGTTTCACGTTCACTTTAAACTGTGCTTTGTCAGTACCTGTTGATTTTCCTTTGACTTTGCATTATTACCATAGATAATTTGAGAAGACTTTGTGTGTAAAAAGCCTCTTCGCTTAACCAAAGTATAAAAGCATTTATGGAGAGAGTTTGGCGACGAGAAAAGAAAAGCCGAACGAACCAAGGCGAAACACGAAAGAAAATATTTGTTTGTTTGTTTTTCTTTATTCCCCTCGGGAAGGCTATCAGCATCCTTACCATAATATATGTATTAGACCAGACGCTTATAACCCTCTAGGTCATGAGCTTCTGATTAGACTCAGTGATCGTGGTTTTCTTACAGACAAATCATATGGTACCAGTTTGTGCTTATTTTCTTTTCTCTTTTCTTTAGCCTTCAGAGACACCAAGCACCTTAAATATTGACTCTTCTGATGGTGCGATGTTTAGCAAGGCACCGTCAATTAAATCCATAGACACTACGTAAGTATGACACGGAACTTGCGCCGTTTAGTATTTTGCTTCATTTCTAACTGAATGCCCGAAACAGGGTAGGACAAAAAATAAATGTTTGAATACCAACACCCGTAGTTTAACTTCTCAATTATTTAAAACTATTCCTCCTTGACTGTTTTATTGCTCGAATCACGGCAAAAGATAAGAATTGCGATGTTACTTTATTTGTAGGGATGTAAAAGAGCGAACACCGCTGAACGAGGAAGTCAGGTAACCGTTGTGTAGTTTTACATAGAATGTCACGCTGGGTTTATGGAGACCAGGCACAAACCCTTCCACGTATTGTTACATGCATGGTGTAGTTATTGTGAAGACTGATAAAATACCATTGAACATTGCACAAGATAAGTTGCTAAAGAATGACGCAAGAATGCCGGCAAATAATTAAGGGGATGTTTGTTTTCAGTCCTTGGTTTTTCAATTTTAAGCTCCTCTCCAGGCCACTCACGGCTTAGCTCTCTCCTCATCATATGACTCTATTTTTCCGTTCTCTTTTTTTTACTTTCATTTATTTATAGACGATGATTTGTAAATATTAAACAGTCTCCCCGTCTATTTTCAGTAATCCCATCCCTTCCACATTAAAAAGGGTAACTGGAAGGAAAGAAATATGTTAGTAATAGACATTTATCGTTTGGTAGCGTTCCTCCAGTAAGTATCACTTTTGATGGGTAAAACTTCATTTTGTCTTTGAATAATCGTCAAAGCAGATGTCTTCGATGAAGCAAAGGACCGCATGTGTAAACAGTTTGTTCCTTCAGTTGTGGTTATCTCCTTCCTCCCGATAAAAAAATTAGGAAAACTATGATCTAGTTTAATTTGTCATATGACTGTTACTTCTCCAGAAAAAGAAAACAGCGGATCAATAAAAACCGAGAAGATATGAAGTATGTTGAGTCCTAACACAGCTGCACTCTGCCTAGGTTTAAAGTATAATCGTAAAATCGCTCTAGAGGTTTGCTTCAATAAATTTAAGCATAAAATATAAATTAAGAATTTGAAGTCTAGGAATCTAAACTTTTTATCGTTAAAAGCACATTGTTTGGTTTAAATCGTAAGCTTAAGGCTACAGTAAGGTTTCTGTAAATGGGGTTAAAAGTAAATGGATAAATACTCGTAACTTGCACCACAAAGTAAGAGCACGGTAAGTTATTTTTAAAGTAAACTGCGCATTTCCACGTTTGCACTGTTATGCACTTTAATGTTGATGTTCTTTATGAGCTCTTTCACAGTTTCATCTAATGTCAATACTCAGACTGAAAAGAAAACATCAGAACCACAACGTGGACAACCAAATATTTAGACCTATCAGTGGAAATGTCCTAATATGGCAATGCACAAAAACTGAAACGGTGAAGTGTGGTACCCTTGGTGTTTTGAAAATATATCTTCCCAGAACACCTTGCGCTCTGAACTGTTTGTGAACTTAAATGATCTCGGCTTTGGCTTCCGTTGGATTTGTAAAGTCTTGGTTTTCCTCGCATTTGAATATACTTCGCTCTTTTTCGAGAAAAGGCAAAACGGTTGATTAGACATGTGAAAGAGCTCCGCAAAATTGTTTGCTCGGTGTCTTTCTAAATGATGCATCCCTCGCGTATTTTTCAGGAAAATCATGCAAGGATTGTTCAACGTCTTGGAAGCCGAGTTACAAAGTTACATCCACTTTGCAGATAGACTTGATCCTTTGTAAGTGTACAGAGAAAAAAAGGATTTTTGTCCATATTTTATTTAAACCAATAGATAACTTCCAAAAGCAAAATTTTGTATAGATACATCAAGAAACATAATGGAAACTCCGGCAATCTCCTCCGAAGGATGAGGTCCGAACGCCTTGACCGCCAACCAAATATTTGCCCCTCCCCCACACCCCTTCGTCCCCCCTCCCTTCCACCCCTCAATTGATAAGTACATATTATCACCATTGTTCATTTTCGTTGTGTTTTAGTAACACCATGTATATGTTGGTCAAGATTGGTCATTTTGTGATCACCACCCAATTGTCTGGCTCACCTGTGTCCTACCTCAGCCAGCAGCTTGGAAACTGCCTCATCTCTGTGAAGAGGCTCTTTGACAAGTTCATAGTAAGTGAACGCTTTAAAATTGTTTAGTGATGTTTTTTTTAAAGAGGTGAGAAACTGCATTACCAATGCTATAGCAATTTATATTCATTATAATTCCCTTAAAGTCGAATCTAAAGAAACAAATTGAGGAAATGAAAATTCAGAAGACGAAGAAGTGTGGAATCTTGCCATTTGTGACCAAGTTTGAGGTGACTATGAACTCTTTCGTTTTTTCTTTTGTGAGCTGACAATTTTTCATATAATTTTCTTCAATGTTTCTTGGAGGGATCAGTCGTAGCCAACGGATTATAAATGGAAGGACTGCTAATATGAGGAGGGAAATTATATTACTACAGATCCATATGAGGGATCCCCTTCCCGCCTCCTTCCCCCTAGTGATAAAGACTGACGGGTCTGTTTTCCTCACAGGAATTTGCAAGCATTTCAGAGAACGTGTTCAAGAACTCTGATCGCCGCAATGACCTTGACAAAGCTTATCACAGTCTTATTCGAGTTGTGTTCATTAACGTGGAGCGAATGGCTGAGGAACATCAGAAGACACCACGAGCGGTGGTCATGATGGGTAAGCCGAGAGGATAACAAATTTAGGGACGGAAGGGCAGGGTAAGGCTTTATAGTGGGATGGAGGCTTTATAGTGGGATGGAGGCTTTATAGTGGGATGGGCCTTGAGTGTTTTAGCTGGTGATGGCAGGTATTGAGACATCCATGTGCGAGTGACTGGGGAGTTCGCTGGGTTAAAAAGACACGAGCTTCAACTTTCTTGTAAGCACCTTCAGAATTTCGCACGCATTATTCTGCGGCAATTTACCAAGTTTATCGCCATTAGCTATGCTAGGCTCCATCCGTTTTTAATTAACTTGATACCCTCCATATTAAACATTGGTTAAATGAAATAAGCTATTCGGCCTTCAAATAAGCCGGCATTGGGTGTGATCGTGTTTCAGCCTGCTTGTTTTCAGTATAATCTTGGCATTCTTGGTCTATCAAATGCTGCGTAACCAGCGCTTAGTACTTTGTCACGGAACTTTTCTAACTATTTTTGTTCCGACTGATAACTTATGCTTTCTTTTTCCTCAGAAAACTATCATCGTTTGTTCAGTAAGTATTTTTTTATCTTTTGTGTGGTAAATGTGGAGCTGTCTCTCTTAATCACTTTTTTGGGACTTCACAGCACTTGTTAGTGAAATAAATCAAAACGGTTAGAAAAAATACAACTTATAGTAATACAAAACTGAATTGCTGTGAAAGCAAATCACCCACGCCTTTAGTCTAAGGGAATATCTTGCCTCTGAGAGATTGACAAACTATTATTCAATGATCGATGGCAGGAACATTGTGTGATCACTCAACCACCAGTTTGTAAGGAAATTTAACTTAGGGAAGGGTTTCAATAGCTTTCTTCAGAAGTGGCCGCCGATGATGTAATCAGTGGTTGGGCGCGTAAAAGGAGCTGTAAGCGTAACCCAGTCAGGAGAGCCTTCTTGCAGGCTCAACAGACGGTGGTCAGAGGTCTTGCAGGTGGTGATAGACCGACGATAAATGGCTTTTATTAAAACCCTTGCTTTGTTAAAAAGAAAAGACAGTTGATAAAGTCTAACTGACGTAATGTTAGTCCCTCTTTTCACTCCTTTTATTGCTCAGTTACCGCTAGAACTAAGACGATTCTAAACATGCAACTGACTACCGCTATCACTCTCACTACAGGGTTTCTAACGCGTCTCAAGATAGTGTGCCTGGAAAACGAGAAAAGAGAGGCCAAAAGGAAATACAACGACACCCTGAAATTGTACGTGAAGGAGATGCTTGGAAGACCCATGGAAAAAATTAACGTAAGAAACAAGAGTCTACTCTCAGATGATCCCGCCTCATTTTGTAGGATGGACTTTACAGATGCAAAATTGAAGGCGCTTTATTTATGGGTGATCCTATTGATGTCTTCAGAATCTTCAAAAACTTGCTTTTTTTTTTTAAGTCCGTCGTATGCATGAATTTCTGCATTCTTAACCTTCCTTTTAATACTATCGTTTTTGGCCTCACACACTGTCCATGATCTTCAAACTTACTCCGTAAATGTCAGCTTAGATATTTTTCTATGCGGCTGATTTGTCTATATCAACTGCATTGGGCGCTTTTCGATCGAGTGTGATAAAACCAACCGAAGGTATCCTCAACCGCCAAGAAAGCATAAGAAATATTACAAGGAGCTAGGAGAACCTAATTGTGATCAAACAAACAGCCGTAAGTGCGGGAAGAGCAATTGATTAAGACAACTGGTCTAAATGTTGCATGGGATTGGTTGAGTGGATGCGGCGAGTTTTCCAGACCAATCCTATAGAGTTGAGGATAAAAAAAAAAACCAACATTATTTTGCATTACTTTGGATACTCATTGAAAATTGCTCTGCTTCAGCCGCCCAAGGGATATCGTTTACTACTTAAAAAACAACAAAAAAAACCTTTTAATTCTTATTATTTTTTTCTTTGCAGATCTTTTTCGAGGGTGTACAAGAATGTATTGCAGCCGGGGTGAAGGAAGACGAAGTCGGATATCAGTTGGCATTCAGTAAACAAGAACTAAGAAAAAACATCAAGGAGTACCCTGCCAAGGACATAAAAAAAGGACTCGAACTGTTGTACAAGAAAGTCGAGAAACATCTGTGCGAAGAAGAGAACTTACTTCAGGTAAAATGATAGGCCTTGCCTGTATATGAAGCTACCTTACTTAAGGCCCTTAAAAATTTATATGGAGCGTATGAAACAAGCTCCTTCGTGTGAACGAGTGTGTTCGATTTCCTGTTCAGTCGAACAATCCTACAATGGCTTTTTTTATGGTTTTTAAGTTTACCACTGTCGATTTTTTTTTTTACCAAGACACTCCTTTGCTACTGAAGTTAAGTCAGTTTTCTATATTTACTAGTATCCACACCACTTTTCACTGCCGTGACTTTTCTCCCAAAATTACACTTACACTGGCATGTACAGGAATAAGAATATTAAGAACATGTCGAAGCTGATGCATAAACAAATTCTTTCTACAAACCTTCAAGAATGATGTCTTGCAAGCATTACAGACAAGTAATATTCCAATCATGTCATTTCAGGTTGTGTGGCACACCATGCAAGATGAATTCATCCAACAATATAAGCATTTTGAGGATCTCATCCAGCGCTGTTACCCTGAATCTATGATCAATCTGGAAGTTACCATCGATGATATCCTGTCGTTTTTCTCAAACATTGCCCAGTCACACTGAACTTGGAAGGCTTAATACAAAGAAAGAACACGACACAAGATGTGTAGATGGTTTCGTTGACCGCTAAAATTCTACCTTTGACCATCAGTTTGTTGCCCCATTTCAGACCATGTGATGCTTTCTACATCAACATAGTTGGTCATTTTTATGTTGAAATGTTAATTCCTTGTTTATTTTAACGGGATTACCAATCGTTCATGGAAGATTTTTCTTGTTACGGGTTTTATGCTTCAGAGTTAATATACATGTCCAATGGCCCGGAATGTGACGCATTCTTACGCATCACATATTGCAGTTATAAATGTAGCTAAGAGCTTGAGACTTCAGCGCACTATTTGTTACTGCCCTGATTGAGGGTAAACACTAACGGGTTATTCTGTGGAGTAGAATCATATTGTTTGAAATAGGGCAGCAACCAACAAAGCTTCATTACTGTATGTCGATAGGCAATGAAATCGCTAAACGACTTTTCTAGTCAGAAACAAGAGCTCTTCAGATCCTCTGCGTAGCTCTTGTTTCTTACATTAATTTTTTTTAGCTTGCTGTTAAAAATATGATGGACAAGAGATGGTTTGACTTGCCAAACATAAAAAGCTCGCATCGACCACTAGTGCGCAATCCCTCTTGCAAAAGGAAATTGAAATTAAACGTTAATTCATGAATTGTAAAAAGTTAAATATTTGACAGAATGACAACGATGTGAATCGCGAAAGTATTAATTAAAAGAGCCATTTGTGCAAACATATGAACACTCGATTATGAATCAAATTCAGTGTTTTTTTTTTGTGTTCGTTTTTCTATAGTTATTTTTATAAAGGCATTTCAAGCATCTTGTTTGTCGACGTGTAATTCCCAATGCCTAATTTATTATATTTACAAAGAATTTAACAATTTGTTGTCGGAAGTTTCACTCTGTTTTAAATCTATAACAGAGGCACTGCCGAGGACTGGCAGTGTATCAAGGAGAGACGAAGACAATCAGGTACATATTCATTTGTTGTTGTTGAGAGTAAATCAATTTTGAATTAAAATTATCTTACAGAAAACCTTGACTCCGTCTGTTTGTAAATAGCAACATAACCTTACTAACTTTTTGAATAGATTTTAAACCCGCACTTCCAGACATGTTTTAGACAATTTTCTTTCACCCTGTGCAGGCGAAAATTGAGAGGGGAATGGTTCTAACAAACGTGACCAGGAGACTAGGACATAAAGCGTATCCTTATATGAACAAAAAAACTGTAAGGGTGCAGACTGGTCAGCAGTTTTCAAAATGGCGGACAATTTGTGAAATGTGTTGTGTAATTACAAGAAATATCATCATTGTAAGGGAACATTGCCGTCATGTCACATTTGCTAAGGAGGTCGGTCAGAAAGGGAATAGGAGGACTTTATTTATGTCGGAATAAATGCAACTCTGCAGAGGAATCTCAACTGCATTGGAACGAAGCTTATTTTAATGGAGTGACCGTGAATTTGGACCAGCTGGGAGAGCAATGTAGCCCTGGGGAATTTTCTGTGAAATTAACGAGTGAGTGGTTATTTTTGGCTCTTTTCTTGGTTCAATAACTTTGGGTGTGTTCAAATCTATAGGAATTGTGTCCCGTGTTCCCTCATGTTTTGGAAATCGGCATAATTTTTTTGAACAGTACGAGTAAAATTATGCCGTTTGGCCTTGCCGAGACAGAGCTTTACATTTTTGAAGGAAAAGGTCGCACCCATGTTGGTTTTTAGTCAGGGATTTATACTAGACAACCTTGATGAAACCATAGCAGCACTGTTAAGAAGCACGGAGAACCTTGGACATAGTGGAAAATAAGAGAAAAGGGTCTGAAAATCGTGGCCATATTGATGGGAGTCTTTGACACCACTGCATCATCCTTGTCCCCTCTGATATGAGAGGCTTATCCTTGTCTTTTCAGCAAAAACCAACTAGGATTATTGCAGCTCCCCCCCCTCCCCCCCATTTGACTAGCCTAGCTAGTCTATAGGAGTTTACTCTTTAGGAGATCATAGGGCTTTCCTGTTTTTTAGTACCCTTTTATACTCCTGAGCAGAGAGGGGCACTGTTAGAGTAGATTGTCTTGGGTGAGAACACAGCACAATAAGCAGCCTTTATTGTAAACACAGACCTCTGGACCTGGAGTCCAGGGCACTAATCATTAATCCTTTAACCCCTAAGAGTGACTGGCATCTAATTTCTCCTTACTGTATCACCCCTGAATCAAAATTAAGGTCAGGAGAATAAAGGAGCTGATCATCCACCGAAGAAGCTCTTGATTGTTATACAAATTCTCCATGTTGGCATCTTAGGAAATGTTTAGAGAACAGTATGGAGAATATGCATACTGATGTTAGGGTATAAAGGGTTAAGCCACCTTGTCTCTCCCTTGTCTGAGAGGAGTGGCTTCATCCTTGGTCCTCCAATTCATGCAAAGCCTGATTTTTCTACCATTTTATCAGGAAGTATCCAACAGTGGAGAAAAGAGAGAAAGAAGTCTGTGTGGATGAAAGTGCCAATCGTTCAGAGTTACTTGATACCAGTGGCATTTGAACATGGCTTCAGTTATCACCATGCTGTTGGAGACCATGCTATGCTGTTAAAATGGCTTCCAAAAAAGGAGCACAATAAAGTTCCACCCTATGCCACCCATCAAGTTGGAGTATCAGGTAACAAAGACAGAGTGCAAAAATGAATTATAAATAGTGAACTTGTAAAATTTGTACCAAATTTTCTTGAGGTAGTTTGATCCTTTAATAGGAATTTTCCATAGTTATAAATGGATTTCAGTTTAAAATGATTTAAGACTACTTTGACTTGTATTTTTTATGTTCTAAAATTATGGGTTATTGTCCCGAACAATAGAAATGAAATATAAATTAACCCTAGTGTAGATAGTTTAATTGAAATTTTTAATTATAACATATCTCTTTGATGATGGTTATCAGTTTCAATAGTGTTCCTACCAAGAAAAAGGTTTATCTAGAATTTTTTTAATTGATGGTCTAATGCATATCCAATATTTCTAATGTAAAAAATTGCAGGTCTTGTTCTTAACAGGGAAAAAAATGAAGTTTTAGTAGTCCAGGACAAGAACTTGGTATGTAACACACACAATCAGGCCCTGTAGAAATCTGCTTTGACAAGTACACACCTCCTTGGATTGCTATTAGTATTACTGTTATTATGATTTTTAGTCAAAGGCAGTTTTTCATCATTCTATCATCAAAATTGTGAGTTCTTTTAAAATTATATGAAAAACCATTTTAACATTGCAAATCAAAGTTTTCATGGGATATCTATCAATGTGATTAAGAATAATTTTGGTAGTTTTGGTAGTATAAATGTTGACAATGTTGGCACAATATTTTTGGCAGCTCAAGATTGGCCGGCGCTTAAAAAGACCAGTTTGGAAATTTCCTGGAGGACTCTCAGATGAAGGAGAAAGTATTGGTGGGTTTGATTTATTAAGTATCTGTTCCTTTATTTTTGGAATTTATTTTACAGAGTATAACCATGAAGACCTAAAAGTAGTATTTCCGAGGTGTTGAATCAGGGCTGGGATTAAATCTTACCAAAAAATTATTACATTTGAAGAAGATCATCAATAGTATGGGTATGATACCAAGGGAACTGGGTTAATCCCTGTTGGACAATTTGTTGTAATAATTTTAAATTTTGGGGTTTTGCCCCATAGCTTTTTTTTATTTCCTGAGTGGAAAGCTAACAGCCTAGGTCAGATTCAAATTGCTCCTCTTCACTAATCTCATTTTTATGTACATTGGGCTCAAGAATCATATAGGTACATGTATGTGATTTCTGTCTGATTCTTTTTCTGTTTGATAAGAGGAAACAGCAGTGCGTGAAGTCTGGGAAGAGACAGGAATACGAGCAGGTAATACACAGGGCACACCTTGTGTTAGTAAGAAGCTAGCCCAGGGTAAAGATTTTTGAAGCTAGTTACCCATTTCATAAAGAACATACTTCAGGGTGTTTAACTCTTTAACTCCCATGACCAAGACAGAATTATTCCTCTCAATAATGAACAGGCAAGTGATCAGAATAAAAAAAAAGATCAGTACAGGGTTGTTTCTTGATATAATAACAAACTCTCTGTCCTCGATCATAAAAATTGTATAGTAGATAATAAGGAGATGCACTAATAGGATCTTGGGCAGTCACTGGTTACCATCAAGTAATTTAAGGTTTTCTCCAAGTTTTTTGGTACCCATTTAAACTTCATTGTGGAGAGAGACATGCTGAGCTGTCCTATTCAGCAGACCACAACTATGAACCAGCCAATATTCTAACAGATCTCTTTACATGGCCTCCAGCATGCTAGCATGCCAATTGTTAACCTCCAGTGATTACAAAATGATATATTAATTCAGGATTGTTTCTGATTTCATTTTAGTCTCACTCTTTGCTTCTCATTTTACTTTTGATTGCAGAATTCAAATCCATTCTGCTCTTCAGACAACAGCACAAAATGAAGAATGCTTTTGACAAGTCTGATGTTTATGTTGTGTGTAGAATGGAACCATTAAGCTTTGGCATTAGTCATTGTGAGGACGAGATTGCACAGTGTCAGTGGATGGAACTATCAACTCTCCTTACCCACACAGACACCACTCCATTGACAAAATTAGCAGCAAGGTTAGCAAAACATGGACTGAAGAATGGATTTGAAAGTGTTGACATTGTGGCAAATAGTATGAGGTCTTGGGTGAATCCAAGTCAAACATTCAGCCTTTTTCACAGATATATGCCAAGCTAACAACTGAATCTTGCTTTTATGAATTTTTTTTACCATTTTTTTCATTTGAGTATTGGGTGAGACAGATGCTGGTAATTATTGTTGAATTTGTGCAAACAATTTTATTTCAATTTCATCGCTTGTAAGTCTTAAAACATATTTTAAATGAAGTTTGTCTAGTTCATTGGACAAAAACAAAGAATCTCCCAGTTTCAAACAAGGATGTGTGTCATAAAAATATTAATTATAGAATGTAATAATTTCACAAACAATATTTATTGTAATCATGTTACTGATGAGTATTCTACTATCAAGTTTAGTTAGATGAGACTTTCACAACATGTAAACTAGTGAAATACTCATTAAAAAATTGCTTCCAGTATGATCAGTTTGTGTGTTTGCCTCAATTATAGTTAATGTAAAAAAGGTTCTCTGTGATGGCAATGGTGAGGAAATATTCTTTGCAATTGACATGACACAAAATCTTTAGCCCAGTCCAGAAAAACAATTCTTTCAACCAACAACTATGATACTTATTTTGATACTAACAAAAAATATTGACAGCTTATCAGGCATGCACTGTGAAGGATATACACGTGAGTTAAGTCAAACTGTGTTACCACAGTCAAAAAAAATGATGCTACTGTGTTTTACATAACAAGTCATCATACATGATAGTTGCTCTGTTAGATACAGTAGAATGGCACACTATATGAAATAAATTTTGAACTTGAAGTATTCTGTACTCTGTACTTTCAGGGGTTTTGTGACCCTATCTTTGTTGAATGTAATTCACAGGAATAATGACTTTTAATAGATGAAAATTCTACATGCACATACTAGCATAACTGATTATTTTGCTGAAATAAAGGAGAAAAAAATTACAGGCCATAGTGTATTTTGCATTTAAATATTGTTATTCCAGCAAAAGAAATACTTTTTTTTCATGTCAAAAGACAGCTATATACATGGATGAAATTATAATTATACACTAAATAATATAAACTGAATGGTTTGTGTCCCAGAGGTTAACCCTTTAACCCCCAAAAGTGATTATCTTGTAGCTTCACCCTATGATCTCCGTTCACTATTCAGCAATCAGGTAATGAGTATACTCAAACCTATCTGATGGAAGTTATTACCTTGGCGTAACAACAAATTCTTGTAACCTAATTTACAAGGAAATGTGTAGTTGCCAGAGGGAAGAATTAACAATTAGATCTTGGGAGTTAAAGGGTTAACCCTCTTCTTCAGCATTAGACTTCATGACTTCACATATAATACCAGAATAGGCTAAAACCTAAATGGTTATGAAGCTTGAAGCCATGCAGGATGTGCCTTAAAATGGGACTTTTTTGGAAAATGATTTTTAACAGTGATGGGAGTTCCTTTAGTTCCTGTCTGGCGTATCGTGTACTTCCCCAAGATGTATCTGTCAGGATGTTGTTGCCCTGTGTACTCTGGATCTATTGTTCCATCATTAATTGGATTAGAGGCCAAAGTTCGGATCAATCTCATCACAGCTTGTTGTTCTGAACAATAGAAGAATCATATCATGTAAGTCTAGCTGGGACCACAGTGATCAGATATTGCTGTTGTGGTTGCCTGCCTATTATTGTTATTGTAATTTACCCATGTTCCACATTGTATGTATCGTTGGCAAAGCTAATAAATTAAATTAATTAAATATAAGAATGGTTTGTGCTTGTTACAGTACTTTTCAAATGAGTATTGTAAAACTGAAACCAGAGTAATCAAAAACTCAAATTGAATGATGAAAATATCACAAGGAACCTATGAAAGAACCAGGAAATTGGCAACCTTGATCAGAATTGAGCTAAGAGCCCAGTATGAAGAACATGTACCTTCATTTCCAGCTTTCTTTAGCCATCGATTCACAGCTGGTACAACATCAGGCCTGAATGTGGAACTAACAGTCTATTTCATAAGAAAAGAAAATATAGGGTAATTTACACAGTCAGTCATTTATCTAAGCTTGAGGAGGTTAGTTACAGTGACTGCAACATCCTACTAATAACTAGGTTTTTTGTACTTAAAATTTTAAACCATGCGTGGCTAAAAACTAAATATACAAGTTTAATATACCAGTATGTAAAAAAAGGTTATTTTTTCAATAACACATATTTTACATTATCCAATTCAGTCATTTACCTGCTCAACATTTGGTGCATCGTGTACAACATCCAACATGTTTGACACTATCTTCCTGTCTGTTGAAAAAAAAAAAAAAAAAGTGTATAACTAATACTGCTAAGCAGCTTCATTCAAGTCTTCATACTAATTTTAAATAACAAGTTGTTTACTCCATCACCTTTCATGCCAGCATTCCTGACCCAGGCTTGTGCTGCTGGTACTGCTTTTGGAGTCATAGCAGCTATTAAAGCCTGAAAAGGAGAAACATTGTTAAGCCTGCAAACAGGCCTCCTTCGTCACCCTTCTGCAACAGAGGTCTGTAAGAGTCTAGCACTGCTCAATCCCCTGGAAAACCTTTCTTGGATTTGTCTCAAATCTTTGTGTGGGTAGAGAAACTTTCCTTTTTACGGCACTACTACTGAGAGCCTGCTTGCAATGGCTACATATTGTTACAAAAATAGGACTGGATGAAAATATTATGGCTGCTGTTTATGTGCCACAAAACAGAAATTATTTTGTTTCATTTAAAGATCTCCCTTTAATTATTTAAGCATACTTAGTAAAGGTTAGAGAGAAAGAAAGAAAGCCGTCCAAATTAAAGATAAAAACAGTGGTGCTGCAGTTTATATAGGGAGGTTCTTTGCAGTGTACCTGTAGCCTTTAGTTTTTGTGTTTATCTCTTCTCACCAGTTAAGTTAAGGAAGTTTCTAAAAGTTGTCCCCAGTTTAAAATTGATGCAAACACTAATAAATGTTATGTGAAAATTGGGCCAAAAAAAGTGAAAAAAAAACATACAAAAGAGAAATCTGTTGAGTTTCCTCACCTGAGTCACCTATGCTAACTAAGGTGCAAGAATGATCTAACTTGATCTAAGCATACCTTATCCAGGCCCCTTTTTTCCATATCTTTCATTTCCCATAAAGTGTAATACATTGTCTGCTGCCTGTCATTTGGTTCCTCAGGTTTATAACCAACTAAGAAATAATAAAATTTATTAAAACCTGCCTCAACTGAAATGGATTACCAGTTGACCATTTACTGTCTTAGCATGAAGGGACTGTGGCTATTCCACAGGTTAGGGTGTGGTGAGGGTTGGCTTGATGGAGTTGTTCCTGAAGTTCCTTGTCTGGTCCATGTCTCATTCCACCCCCTCCTAATCCCTTCTTGCCAAAAGTTTTCTCTCTGTCTCGAGAGGATAATTAGCACTCCTTCTTGAGACAGAAAAGACCGCCAGCAGTCTGCAACTGAAAGATTACTGAAAGCCAACAGGGTGGTTGGCCATTTTCATGGTTTTGAACCATGGTTTTGAACAGCACATAACAGGGACCAAACAGGTTGAGGGACCACCTGTCACACTTCATGCCCTCTTTCCACGTTCTTGACACATTGATAACTGGGAGTAAGTCAAGACTAGTGCCAGTATGGTTTCTTTGCTGTTACTATTTGGATTTAGTTTCAGCAACAAACAAAATATATATTGGATGTGCATTCCAGAATAACCTGATCACAGATCTTCAATTGTAAAATCTTAATTATGTTCCACAAGATACAGTTTTGCAACTGCAACACTTCAAAGCCCAGGCCAATAACCAGAGTGAAATAAAATCTTATTGAATGATTTTATCAATGTTTACATTTTAACATAACAGAAAGATGAATGTTTATCCTACCATCGTATGGGTCCTGTTGTGGCTTTTCTTTAGGTTTGGGAAACCCTTTTGCCTGCCTCAGGTGGAGCCGCAAAAATGGCCTACAAGAAATAAATTTGCCCTGCCATTTACTTACAGAAAAAAATAACTTATGTGAACATTAAGATGTTCTTACATACAAGAAAATGTAAGAAAATGTAACTGACATCTGTTCTATAAGATTCTCACACATTTATCGACGTCACGTTGATAGATTGGTTGGTCCTTTGATTTTCTCTCAGGTGGGATAAGTAGGAAGAGTATATCCCCTCCCCCTCCCCCCGACCCCCGCTAGATCCATCTTGTAATACGGTATCCCGTCTCGGAATTGTTAGGTGGTTCATAAATTTCTCATGCGAGATCCGCATAATATAGCTATGACTCTTGACTCTTCTGTTTTTAGAAGCCTTGAAACCGAAATCGTTCCCATTTCATTGATGAACTGGCTTAAAACACATTACCACTTAATCCCTATAAGATATCATCACAGACAAAGGACCTTGAAGTTATCCTCCAAACCATAGGATCACTTATTGATGTTTGCACTTCACACAAACAAAAGACACAGACCTTGTTGGATGAGGGTTATTTCGTCTCGTTGGCGAAGTCGGTCGGCAGGGAGTGGGTTCTTGAAGCGCTTTGTAGTTGTGTGTTGTCGAATATGTTGTCACAAAGTGGTTACATTTCACAGAAGGCAATGGATCTCCAGGGTTCTCCCATGATCGCTGCCATGACTGCCTAGAAAGGCTTCGAATTTTGTCGAATTCCGTCTTCGGAATACCCTCCTTTCGTCTTTCGTGTTCTCTGAATATCTCAGCGGACTTAGAACGGAAGCGAAGATCATGTGGGTATCCAAGATTTGTTAAAACGTGAGTCATAATTGCACTACAAAAATGTCAAATGGCGGATGCTTCCTGGATTACTTCGTTGATTAGAGAATCGAGATAGTGCAAATGGATGTGATAATTTTCACACTAAAACACCAAGGTAAACTAAGATCGATCTGAAGTTCTTTAGCTCTTCAGATATTTCTGAATTCGTTCACGCGGTCAAGGAAAAACGGTTCCCCAATGAAAATTGATCAAGTCTTCTAGACCGCGCCACCGCGAAAACTGACAACAATCAACATTGCTTGGTTACTTTAATTTATGCAAAAAATTAAGTCACTGCAGGAATAATTATTCATTTGCCTACTGACTTCAATTGTCGTTTCGTCTTGGAAAGCTGTTAATTTTCACAATGGTACTTTGCGGTTTGCTAGTTGAGAGAAAGATAAATAATTGATTAAACGAAAGTGAGCCGTATTCTAACAGCCTACTAATTTTCCAATGCCTGCAAATTGACGACGTTCACTTGAATGGGATATATTTGTCACCACAGAATTGAGTGGATTCAAAATTCACTCAGAGCGGGGGAACTTGCTCAAATTAACAAGGTTGTTGCCCCTCAAAAATTCCTAAAAGATGAATGAACTGATGCACGGTAACAAAAACAGAACAATTTCTCATAAAATCACGATGAGGACAAAACTCCAGAGGTGGCGCAAGAGACCATATCAAGTTTGGAAAGTTTCCATAACTCAAAATGAAGTTGAAATGTTTCTTATTTGTCCAATTTTCTTCAATTTCATCAATATATCCCAAAGCCCTTAAAGCTTCCGGCTTCCGCCATAATTAGGATGTAAACAAAGGTAACAGGAGAGCATAAAATTTAAGTGAAATAAATAAATGAATTGAAGACGAAGAAGAAGAAGAAGAAGAGGAAAACTAGAAGAAAACATAATACCATCAAGCGACAATTTCAATTTGAGCACTTAAAATCCATCTCGCCTATTTTCAGCCAAAGCATTCGTATTATTAACAGTCATTAGCACGTCGAAACCTCAAGAGCTTTTAGCTGTTCTTCTATTGTTAATAATTAATCGTGAGTAATCACTCTGTAAACCTAAAAATATCCCCTAAAACAGAATTGTTAGTGATAACAATTAGACCGTTATCTAGTGGTTACTAAACAAACCTACAACGCGATTTGTGTGGACGAGAAATTTAAACAAAATTATCCCATTGATTCGCAACACGGGAAACTTTTAGTATCCTGCATAACTTTATAAATAAAATGGATTTAAAATTCGGCGAAGTTCCAAAACATAAAGGTTACAAAAGGAATTGAATTGGAAAAATCACTAAAGTTTACCGCCCCATCATCTGAACTCCAAAATTAACGTAAGTTTAGTTAGGTTAATTACTTTTTATCTTGTCCACATACTCAGTGCATGCTGTTTAAAAAAGATTTTCGTGTTCACAGACATTGTTATCGTGATAAGAGTAGCATCAAATGTAAGAATCGCAATTCGAGAGCACTTATTTATCACGAGGTAGGAATTATATATTGTTGTTACAAAGTTTTTTTTCCAGAGGTTACTCAAATAGTTATTTTGTCAAATTTCCCACAGAAGCCTGAAACTTAAAAGAACAAACATCTTAAGAATTTCGGCTCAGCTTTCTTAACTTTACATCCTTTGTATTCAAGTCTCTTCATGTGGAGAACTAAAATGGAAACAAAGAAGTTTTCGATGATTTAACGAATTTTTTCTGAAAGTCTTTGCTTCACATATCTAAATCTTCGGAAATCCTTTAGTTTAGAAATGAAAGTGATTTTTGTGAAAGAATTGGGTTGAAAAATGAACCCTAAGCAAATCTGTTGCATCAGAAATTTTTAGTGAAAAGCTTCAGGATGCATGGAAGGCGGTATCTAGGCAACTAGGACGAAGCGATCAAGTGAAATTTGGCTTAACTCATTTGTCAAATTGAAAAGAGAAGTACAACTTCTTAGAGATCTCTCTTGTTCAAATTTAAAAAATTATGATTTCACAAAGAAAGTTAGGATGACGGTAAACAGAGATTGTGAGTGGGCATACGTATGGACTCCAATATATTCCTAATTTAACTTGTAAACAGAATTATTTCCTTGTGGTAGAGGGGTTCTATGGAAAATTTTTTTTAGTAAATTCAGGAAGGGTGGAATCATTCAGCAACAGCTTTCATTTAACAAGATCGTTCTTGTGCTTTTATCAGTTTTCAAGGAAGAAAGTGCATAATCTGGACTGCTGTTCATGATGAATTACTGCAGCAAGCCTTCCTATAACTACAGACAGAAAACCATGGAGGAAGAGGTAAGGAAAATGGATTATAAATACTGCGGCCGGTTTTAGGATGACCCGGCATCGATGGCTTGCGCTGAATTAGTCGGGCCTGAGTGTTGTATCGTGTGTGTTTTTAGCGAATTTCAATTTGGCTTGTATTACCAAGCTTTGGGTCAAAAAACCGAAAGCTGCGCCGAAAATAGCTAAAAAAGAATAACGCGAGGGCAAAAGTGTTTTTTACTTTGAGCCTCTTACCTGAGCGAATTGAGCAATTAGTGAAAACTTGCTTTATGAAACTGGAAAAAGGAATGACCTTACTCTCTTTTTATACGCTTACCTCAGATGCTTCCTCGTCTCTTCACCCCAAACAAGGCCCGCAGAGCTTTCAATTGGTTGAGATCTGGGCAGTACGACGGTAAGTCACTTAATTGACACGGTATACTTAATCTTTAACTACCAAGATATTATCAAGAATTCTCCTTCAAATTTCGATATAGTTCCGTGCAAATAAGTTGAGAGCTTTTGGTGTCACATCAATATATATGAAAACCCTATTTGAATTCACCTGCCAGAGGAACATGACTCTAAAGATAGCCCTTGTATCTGATTGACAGAAAAACTTGCGGTGCTCAAATCGTTTTGGATCAAGGAGGAGGAAAGACAAGCAACAGAAAAGGTAAAACGATCCAATGGATTTGATTTGAGAAAAGGAATGAGTTAAGAATCATGTTCTTTTTTCCAGCTCTGAAGACTGCCCAAAATAAAGCAAAAGTGAGAGAGTGTTTGAAGCCGCTTGATAACTTTAATTTTGGTGTCGTCGTTCATATCTGTTCGACTTTTTCAAGGCTTTGGACCATTAGATAGATTTCGAAAGCTCAACTCCACAACCGAAGAAATGTAACGTCTCTCAAGATGACGAAAAGAACAGAAAGACAACCTTAAACTCATAATTAATATAAACCACAACTATGGAATAATTTTCCTTCAGGTTTTGAGGGACAGTTTCCATCCACAAGTGGTGCCACGAGTCAGGGCGTGGCTTGATGAGGCTGATGAGGAAGGTGAACAACTTGAAGTTTGTCTGTTTCTTTGTTTGTTCATTACAAAAGCTCTGTATCCTGTAATAATTGTACGCGTAGGTTGTAACCTGGTCTATTGACGTAGAAAAGTAAGTTCTATTATGGAGTTGAGTGGCCCATTCAGCCGGTTTCATGAAGTAAATAAGAGTGTTGCTGAGGCGACAGTCCATCACAAGGTCAGGCTAATTTGGTTTTATCAATAGAGTTGATAACATGAATTTGCCACCGTAAAGGGCTTCAAAGCTGACATTTCGAGCATAATTAGCCCTTCGTCACAGCTAAGTCAACAAGGTCACCCAGCATTTCATTCAGCTTCTCTAACAATTCTTCAGTAATCAATTATATTCCTTGGTGGAAAGAGGACGAAAGTAAAATGTTTCGCCCGAGTACACAACAGTATGACCCGACCAGATCTCGAACCCAGACCTCTCGTCGCGAAGTCCGGCGCATCAACCGTTCTGCTACTGCGTCTCCTACCCTGATAAGGGGAAATGATTTGTGATTGGTCTGGATTCGTTATCATCTTGGACATCTTTTCGCTTAAAATGGAAAAATTAAGAGGAATAGTAAAAATTTACTCAACGCACTCCCCCCAAAAAGGAAATGATTTGTGATTGGTCAGGATTCATAATCATCTGTATCATCTTGGACACCTTTTGGTTTAAAATGGGGGAATAAAAAAGAATGGAAAAAAATGTATCCACCACACACCTCAGAAAAAAGAAAAATAAAAACCAAAAAACAGAAACATTAAATTGGAGACAATCTGAAAGGTTTCTACTTTTTTCTTTCGTGCTATCATAACGACGACCTCGTATAAATTAATATCCTAAGCCCAAGTTTTCATTTTACAAATTTTAAGTTGAAATTTCATACGGAGGAAAGGAACATTCTGAATTATTTCGCGAGCATTTTTTAATTTCATTGGTTCTGGGTAATACGATTCGACAACGCATTTAAGGTGATAATTAAATATACGTCACTATTTTCGCGCGCACGTAACAAATATGATGATGGAGGATTCGATATTCGTTCACAATTATGAAATGTTGCCAGCATAAGAGGTTGAAATCCTCTCAATGTAAAGCTGGCAACCAACGATGGAATCCTACCTCCAAGCTCCGCCTAAACAATTCTTACTTGCCCTCGTTTCGCCCGATAATCGATGATGAAGGTTTGTGATAATTCCAGTTCAGTGTTGGTTGTAATCCATTAAGAAGGTTATTTCAAAAGACGTTAAGGGAATCTAGCCGTTATACATGCAGAATATCATCAGGGAATTTTTGACCGACGATTTTCGATAAAAGTGCGCGCGTGGCCGAACGGATCAGGGACGAGTGCGTGTGCATTTAACGATTGGACTCGGACACATATATGTGATCCCTGAAGCATCGAAACGGCTTTTTTGCAACTTTGCGCCAACTGTGCGCTATTTTTAGTGAATAAGAAAATCCTATCGTCTAATCCCCAACGCAAAAATATGGACAGGTTAATAATGTTTTAACTGAATTTACATCGGTAATTCGCCATCCCACTCTGGTAGGTCTTAATTTTACCCTGGAGATATTTGCAGTGAAATGCAATTCCTATGTCACATTTAAATGATTCGGAAGTGCACTTAGTACACATAACGTTGGAATTTATTCATTTCTTTTCCCTGTAGAGAAGAAAGCAATCTTCAAGTTATTTTGGAGCATGGCTAGTCAACCTTCTCCTGAGAAAGCTTCCACAACGCTTAAAAAACTGAGCCTGCCTTTTGATGCTTCAACACGTAACTTTGGTGTGACAAGCAACCAAACCCAGAAAAGAAAAATTACTTTGGATGACGCCAGGCACAAAATAAATCCCAATCTCTTAACGGCGCGTGGACGTGGGGACCTTATTTACGTGGCGCAGAGAAGAACTGAGTTCGATATTGCACCCGACTGGAGAGCACCAATGCGCAGCGTTGTTCCTATGACCCAGATCACTCGGGGTGCTCCTACGCAGGAGAGGCTACCAAGGTTAACCAAGCACGTCTGTCTACATAATCAGCGTGAGTTTGTGATTCATCCCGAATGGATTATCCATTGAAGTTAAGGAGAGCAATTCAAGGGAACGGTTCACTCCATTTTTCAGCCTTTTTCAATTGTTGCTTAAATTGTTAGTTTGTATTCCGCCGGTTAGAAATAAACAATTGATAACGGTACGCTTGATGTTGTGATTTCTTAGGAGGATTGGAAACAAAGTAAAATTGCTTTCTTGTAAGCTATGCGAATTGGAAATTGAAGTTGGGATTAAATTTAAGAAATTTCTTTAAATAGTACCGTACAAGACCAGAATTAAAGGGAGCCGACGTTCTCTGGCGATCTGTTCTGCTCTGCCTCAGTCTTGTCTTCACTAAAAAATTTTCTCTTTTAATTCTACTGAATTTTCAATATTATCCCTCTCTTTCCTGCCTGAATGTCTTTCAAACATTTCATTTTCATGGTGTTGTACATGGGCGTTGAGCTTATGAAAGCATTTCTGGTCTTTCTGTGGCATACAAAATCTTTAGCAACTTCACATCATTTGACAATACTTTTCCATCCGCTTCCCGTAAAAAAAGGTCTGGAATTTTTTTGGTGTAGATTTTAAAAGAGAGAAAAAGTGGTCTGTAACTCGACAATTTAATCTGCTAACAAAGATTGACTTACGTATATTCCTGAGTGATCTAAGTCTTTTACGTACGTCATTTGACAGCTCATAACCAGATAATCATGTTATCCAATGCCTCTCAATATCTACCAGAATAGTAAACACTTAATCAAGGAAAAAACATTACTTAAAAGTGTAAAATTCAAAACCATCTGGGATTGAAATTCTGAATACGATGACGTTAGCAAAAAAAAAGTGGTACGACGGAATAACGCGAGTGAGCTGTCAAAAGAAGTCAGTTACAGTTCCTTCTCAATGCGTTCTCATTTGGAAGACAAACAATCACTTTAGAGAAACTGCAGATATAAGTTCAATTGAAAATTTTTAGAAATTCTTTGGCTGAACACTCATGAACACCGTACCGTGCTCGTACCAAACTTTTCACAAGATTTTCCTGTTGTGGTTTTTTTTTTCTGAGGAGTTGTTTTTGCACTGTACTCTACATTTGTATATTTGTGATGAAGGAAGCAATTGTCATAGACTAATAAAGACATTCGTGTAATTAAAGTCGAAACGTCATCATATTTCAAATTTCGAAACCAGACAGTTTCCCTTTTTTCATCTCATCTCGATACTTCATCGTGAAATCGTTAGGAAAAAATCTCGCGGAGCTTCAATTCCATAAAATAAAATAAAAAATAAGGATTTGTGTATATAGTTGCTTAATCTGATGGCCATGAATTCTGAGGATTGAGTGAAAATAGCGTGAACCACAATTCTCATGCACCAAAATCTCTAAAACGAATTCGCCGAGATGCGAGGTATATTAATTTCCTATAACTGTTCGTTCAATCAGTTTCAAACCATGATTACGTCTCTATCATTCACTAACAACACTTGTATCCAAAGAACCTTCCGATCGTGCATCGCGTGATGAAATGGTAAGAGAAGCAATATTACTGATTTGTTGATTAGACATACTGCCCCTTTTAAAAATTGCCTTAAAGGCTCTTCTGTATTTCGGGATTCTCCATGCGTAGATAAAAGGATTAATACTACTGCTTATCAAAAGAATCTTATTTGCGGTGTAAAGAAAGGATCGAAAGCCAACCTCAGTTTTCATTCGTGGACGAAAAAAGGTTATGTTGAGAGCTATAAACTGCGGCGTAAATGTTAAGTAAAACAAAGCCAGCACGATGAGAATTGCCTTTAAAACTTTTCTTTCCCTTTTCCTGTGCGCGTAGAACATCGGTTCATCTGTAGGAGACAAAGTTCTCACTTGATTTGTGTGCAAGCGGAGAGCGTGATACGATTCCCAGAAAACCACAGCGAGAATGATTAACGGAAGGGATAGGTGAAGATGACAATATAGCAAAGTTGAAATTTCCTGAGAAATTCCGATACGAGAAAGACCAACAAAGAGCAAGGCATAGATCCAAACCGCTATGATGAAAATTTTCGTTTTCTTTTTAGCAACGTCAACTTGCGTTTTGTATCGCAGAGGTGATTCCATTGCAAACAAACGATCAAATGACATCGCCATTACAGTACATGATCCAACAACATTTGTTATAATGCCAGTGGTTATTATCATGACTCGGATTCCCACAAGTTTTTCATCAGTTCTGGTGTGGAATATCATATAATCGTAGTACAGGCTCCCGCATCCAGGAACAGCTCCCGAGATGAAATCACACAGACTTAAGTTCATTACAAGAAGTGTAAATGATGACTTACATAGTTGCTTCTGCCGACGAGAATCTCTGAAGATGGTAATAAGTAGAATGGCGTTTGAAAGAATTGCTGGCGTAGAGATGACGAAGTCGATGACTATATGAGCCAAAAAGAAAGACGAATAACTGTGAAATGGTCTTTGAGTCGGAACTGTAGGACCAGGGCCCATTTTCACGGTCGAATTCATAGATTTAAGGAATCATTGGAGACCATAATGACTCGCCCTCCTGATTCTCGCCAACCCACCAGAGCATGAATCTTAAGAGAGTGTAATCGAGATTTGTTTTTCTAAAGATATGTCTGATGTAATTAAACACTCGTTTTCATAAAGCTTTCTTTATCCTCGATATGCGTCATAGGTCGATAATAGCGATTTATTGGCTGTCTGCTTTAGATCAGATGTAATGATGCGGAAATAAACGCGTCAATTTTGACGGACAGGATTCAAGAGATTTCTGAACGCAATTATGTTTTCTCATAATGTCTTAATCGGCTATAATCTCAGAAAATTTCATCGCAAGCAAAGCTCTTTTAGCGTCAATGCAAATGTTGATTTTACGAGACCAGATTACAAAGCAAATACATGTATCGTGGTACGAATGTTTTTTAGGCATGATTTATCGCACGCACAAGCTCTAATTTTGCTAGTAAATAATATGCACAAGAGAGCGATCTCGGCACCTGCCGCTGAAAGTTTTTACGGCTCAGGAAATGCCAAAGGTAATTTTTTATATTAGAGCGCCGTACAAATATTGAATCAAGTACCTAAAATATACGACTACCTCAGAAGTAAGGCCCTTTAAAATTCGGGACTGTTAAAGCCAGCCACCAATCACAGTTTAAGTATTATGGTGGGTGGGTACGCTCCAGTTTTATAATTGTTTGCTTAAAAAACGCAATGAATGAACCAGGTTAAAAAACACTATTTGGGAAGGGATGGTGTTTTTTACATGTTTTTCAATCACTTTCATAAAGCCTTTCACATGACATATGAATTTTTCCTGAGAAATGATTGCAAGGTTAGAGACTGAACGTAGAATTATGTATAATTACGGGCGCCTAAGTTCAGAGACGGTTCTATTTTATATTCAGAAATGGCACTTGAATAATTGACCTGATAATTTAAAGCCTTTTGAGTTTTCCAATTTAAGTCAAGTGAACTAATTTGCGTTTGAATTGATGTTAGAAGTCGCTCGGATTTTTGAGTGCCAAGCGACCTTTTCACACACCTCATATTAAGAGTCAAAGTGACCACTTGCCAATGTTGTAGTAGTATTGCCCACATAATAGAAGTAATTCAAGCACTTACCTCAAGCTAATTCCTCAAGCTTACAGAGAGTGACTCGCGCGCGCTATCGAACGTATGACCCTGGGAACGAAGTTATCGTACTAGTGCCATTCCCAGTGCGGTTGAACTATGTAAATAGGGCTGAAGCGACCACTTTGTATCAGCAGGACTTTATTTGATATTACACTTCCGCTGACTGAAGCACAATTTTATGCTTACAGACGCACGCAAAAAAAAAACTCGCTACAGGCTGAGCTGTGGTGACGATCTGAACCAGTTTAGGTGAGAATCTCATCTACATCTTTACTAAACTTCCTTGAGATGAACAAAAAGCGGTACATTGTAAGCAATTTTTAAGTGTGCATCTGTGAATAAGTTTAATTAATGATTTGAATTCTGTTGTAAATTTTTGGGAAAGTTCAAGTGGAAAGCTTTGGGAAATGAAAATCTCTCAGCCTATCATAATTTCTTTAATAAAAGATAGCGGGCTACTTTTTCAATGAATTGTGAATCTGCTGATTTCTTTTTTCACACATCATAACTGTAAGTCTTAACGATTGTGTTTTAACTGTGAGTGCGGTCAATCCAACATGTGTCTTTTTAAACGATGGTCCAAGCTCGTAGTCTCATATTTTCATGTAACCCGATCACGTGAAACTTATTTACAGTAATTCATATAAAATGATGATACTATGAAAGATATGGTACAAAGCAAAGAGATTAAGAAAAATACTAGCATACATATTTTGGAAATTTTGAATTTTTTAGGAGAGAGATTTACACACGATATTAGCCAAAAGGAAATATTTGCAATTGCTTTACACTTGAAAACCAGACTGAATTCCTAATATTGTTCTGTCCTTGAAAGAAAACATCTTATTAATAATTGGTATGTATATAATTGGCACCTTTTTAACCCTTTAATTCTCAAGATCTCATTATTAATTCTCCTTACTGTCTGCCATACAGTTCTCGTGATGTTTGTTTGGAGAATTTGTATTGGATCATCTTATATTCCCTTAATTTATATTTTTCTTTATTCTCATCACTTGTCTGCTTGATATTGTAAAGATATAGTAAGGAGAAATTCTGTCTTGGTCACTCATGGGAGTTAAAGGGTTAAAGGCTGATAGGGTTTCATTTTTGAATTTTTTGAGAAATGCATGTACATTGTGTTCATTAAGCTCTTTTTTTATATTGTTAAGTTTTTGAATGAGCAGACCAAAAGAAACTAGATCTTGAGTGATAATGAATAAATTGTTAAAAAAAAAAACCAATTAGTCACAAAAATTAATTAACTTATTGTAAAAAATCTTGTTTTACTTTTTCTGACTAATTTTATGCCTTATACCATCCTTTTTCAGCCATGAAACTACAAGTGCATCTCTCAATACTTCTTGTCACCATAATCTCATGTTTTTGGGTGGATGGTACAAATGTGCCTTCCTGTGCCAGCATGAGATCATGGTTTCCTGGGAATACTCCATTAACCCTAGCTGATAATTTGCCATACCAGCTAAGTGTCAGTAGTTATACTGGAGGAGGTTACTACTCAGGAAGTTTACACACAAGTAAGTTAGTGGTCTAACAGATTAGTTAATCTATAGCATTTGAATAGTATTGGAAACGTGAATTATATGTTAATTGTAAAAAGTTCAAAAATGAATTTAGATTCAAATGATTGATAGCATGATTGTTTACTTAAAAAAATGCTACATTAAGTGAAAATATCCACTTTAATTAGGATTAGGTACAAATGAAATCTCAGAAAGGATAATACAAGGTTTTTAATTGGTGAAAAACAGATGGCAGCTCTCATTTAGTTCAGAAATTTTATAATAATAATTATTATTATCTCTGAATCAGATATTTTTTTAAAATGACTTAAAACATTTATCTTGCAGTTTACCTTAATGGCTCCATGGGTGGAGATAATAAAACGAGGAGTTTTGTTGGATTTATTGTTTATGCTGAGAACTCTGTGAAAGAATACCCTAATGGACAATTTGTGAAGAATAATTTATCCTCAGGAGTTGAAGAAAATAGCTGTGGAAATCTCTCAGTATGTATAAATCATTAGCTGACTACTTCTCTAGAATTTTGAATTTATTTATCTGATGTTATGTTTAAACATGCTGTTTATGATATTCTTATTTATCAATTAATTATTTTAATTTTGCTACCTTATACTAAAAGATTATTCAAAACTCTACAACATCTGGAAACTGGACTAGTATCAAATTAGTATGGGAGGCACCTAAAGATGGCTATTTAGCTGGAAACATAACTTTCAGGTAATAAATGATGTTCACTGATTTAAATGATACTTGTGGTTCAAAGGCATAATTGATTGCCTATTGTTGAAACTTGAGACTGCGTCTAATCAGAGCTTAAGCATTGATCAATTTAAAGCTTCAATACCCCTTTTGGAAAATGTCTTTTTAAGCCATTTGCTCATAGAAGCAAATGGCTCTAAAAGACAATTTGGAAAGGCAAATGGCATTAAAACACAAGCACTTTATATTTCCAGTTCAAATTCCCCACCCCATCCACACAAGGTTCAAATTTCCCACCCCTGGGCACAGACTATAGTCAAATGTCATGCTGGTTACCTGTGGTAGGGAGATGTTGGAGCTTTGATTGGGGCATTACTTTCAATTCCTGATTGAAATCAGGAGGGCTCCTGACAAAATTATATTTTCTGTGATGATTTTTTATTGTGAAACTCATGAAACTGTGAGCACCAATTGATTTGATTCTGACAGATCAATTATGTATTGACAAATCAGTAATTTCAAGACATGCCAGAGGAACCATGAAATCACAAACTACGTATCAATGTTGCAGTTTGCAGTTGAATTTTCTGAAGTCTGATTAGCATTTTCCCTGAAACATAATTACTCCCTAAATATTTCTGCTGGTGAAAGTTGTCTGAGTTTCATTATAGTAAGTTAGTATTAATTATGTGAAAAAGAAACTGTATTTGTGAGGAAAGTGTCAGGTTTTTAATATGCAATGCTGCTGTTAGTGATTTAGCAAAATATATATCAGTCAGAATTATACTTTTTTAATGAATACTTCTCTTTTGAAAACCTCCAGAATTTATTAAAGATAAAAGAGTAACTATAATTTTTTTGAAATCCCTTTCAGAGCAAGTGTCTTGGAAAAGACAGATCCTGTCACTTACTACGAAGGATTTACTGCACATCTGAAGTGTGAGTTAATAGGGTGTTTGTTGTAATGTTACTTTCATGAATTATTTTGAATTTTTTATTTGAGAAATGAATTTAAAGTGTAAATTGTCTCAATCTCAAGTGAGTTGTTGCTTTCTGATTAATTTTCTTACTTAATGTTCTAATGTCATTGATGTTCTAGTTGTAAAACATTTGATCAGAATTATTTATTAAATAATTTGTTAATTTTAAATCAGTAACCCTTTAACTCCTCTGAGTGACAAAGACAGATTTCCCCTTACAATATCAATACAATATCAAGCAGATTAGTGTTAAGAACAAAAAAAAAATTGTTGATGATCATTTGATCCAATACCAAATTCTCCAAACTAGCACATAAGAACTGTACAGCAGACAGTAAGGAGAGTTTCCAATGAGATGTTGGGAGTGAAAGGGTTGATTAATTGTTTCTCCCATAGATGCATGCCCAGTAAACAAGTGTGCTTCTTGCCCTGGTGGCTTCTACATAACTGACAGTTATGGATGCCTGACTTGTCGCTGTAAGTTGAGAGATGAGTAAAGTGTATTAAATAACATTAAAAGTGTTTTTAGTAGATGATACAGATTCCAATCTACACTTGTTAGAACAACAATCAGTATAAAATTTTTATGTGCTTACTAGCAATATATGGCATGAGTTGTGACAAA